CTCCTCCTTCCCCTTTCCCCCCACACGATGGAGCTTGCTCGGAATCTCCAGCCATGGCAGGAGATGATGCGGAACCAGGACCGGGCCCTAAGCAACCTGGAGAGCATCCCTGGAGGGTATAATGCCCTCCGCCGCATGTACACGGACATCCAGGAGCCCATGTTTAGTGCTGCCCGGGAACAGGTGGGGCCAGGGGCTGGGCTGTGGGAGGGCAGTCTGGACTCAGGATTACCTACCCCAGACCCAGGCAAGACTGAGGTGCTGTTTGCTCCTTTTTCTCTCCCTAGCCCCCTGAGGGTGGGCCTTGGCTTAAAAGTGGTTCTCACGCTGCATAGCCAGGGATGGTCCAACTTGGCATGGGACTTAGGCACTAGGGCAGAAGATAGCAGAGTTCCCTAGGGAAGTGGGCAATGGGTAGTATCCAAGGGATTTGACATTGTTCTGACAAACTTCTTGCACCAGAGGTTGTGGGGCAGGCCTGGGGTCAAACAGCCAGCCCTAGCACAGTGTGTCTCAAGTGTGGTCCACAGATCACCTGCATCAGAATCACCTGGGGAGCCTGTTAACCATGAGATTCTTGGTCCCCACCTTTGAGCTACTTATTGAATCAATCTCTGGAATCGAGTCCTGGGAATACACACTTTAAAAAAGGCTTTAAGAATTCTTTCCAAAATACAAAAAGTATAGCATTCTCTTGTATTCCTTGTGGCCCTAAAATGTTGCCATATATAGTTTCAGTGCCTTTTTGGGTTCTTTTTTTAAAGTTTAGCTTACACTAAATACAGTATACATTTACCTGTTTCAAAACTCAAAAGTTACACAAAGTAAACAAAAGGGTATTTAAAAAGTATAGAAAGGTATACAAGCTCAACAAAAGTATACATAAGGGATCCTGCTATTTCCATCTCCCAGCCACCTCTTTAGTAGTATTTTGTATGTTTTGCTAGATGTATTAAACATTAGCAAATAAGATATTACACGTAGAATTGCAGCCTTCACATACCCCTCCCCCATCTTATACCTCTCTTTCCC